GTGTGTGTGTGTGAAGAAAACTGCAAACTTGATGCTATTCATTGTCATCGAAAAAAAATCAACAAGATTGCACAACTTACATTGAAAATATATTTCCATTTTTGTATCAATTCGACGTGTGAGTAGAATACATACACGTGGCTTAATCGCTTTTTACATTTTTCGCAGTTTATATGTACCTATATACTGTGTTTCGGTAGTGAATAGCAATCGTCGCAGCTTACAGTTTAACATTTATCCGTCTGTTTCTTTACACATGCCAACTACGAATTTCAAAGAGTTTCAAGCCGTCCATAGTCGACATAAATAATATACACACAGTTACTTGGTCGTGTAACACGTGTGGCGTAACGTTTATATAATAAGAAGCACGTTCATATATTATTTAGGTAATATAAACATATACATACGTTTTAGCAAAACATATAAAAATGCGATAATACTTGTTACAGTGTTCTCTAATCGAGCTTATACAAACGTACTTGCATTTGTATTCAATATAGATAGATAGTTTACTTGGACCGTACGTACGAATTGTATTCGCACGTCCGGCTATTCAAAATGCAAGATTTATCCTGCGAATAAATCTAGATACATTTTGATAACAAGGATGATTTCTTCCATGGTGATCGTCTTTCTTGCAAAATTGCGGTGGAGAAATCACACGACGATGATGATACTGATGAAATAATTAACGTATGTATGTATGTTTAAATACAATATATGCATTTTATGTATGTATGTATGTATATACATTTATCATACGAGGATGAACTGATTAAATTGCATGCAGTATACATTGCCTGGCGTATATGTGAAACGATCAAGCTCTTTGCTATTGTATCTATGAATTTTCAGATTTTTCGATACATAAAGTTCGAAGGAAGTTCACCATTGACCGTTTTTCACAAATGTTAATAAAATTTTTATCATCCAGCAAGATACACGACAGAGAAATATCTATAAAGTAACATTTTTCTTTTTCTTTGCATACAAGAAAATAAATTATGTATATGTATATATATATATATATATATATGTATGTA